AGACAGGACAAATTTATAAATAATTGAAATTGCATCTAATATTTTCAGCTAAATAAAAATTTCCAGCAGACCCCTGAACACATGTAGAGTTGTTATGGTTTGCATATAAAGAGGCTCGTTAGCCTTTAATCAAAAGGCAATCCGCCAGTACCTTCTAGCATTGACTGCAACAGGATTAGTTTCATTGATCCAGTTAACCATCAGAATATCAGGTCATCTTTATATGCCTGACTGAAATCTTCTAGAAACCAAGAAATCCTAACTGGAAATTTCTGAGGAAATCTGCAGCAAATTCTGCCTCGCCAGATTGGCCATGATTGGGGTCTGGCCCACAGATATCTTCAGCCAGAGGGAGAGCAGTGTCAAGGCAGTCATGTTCACCATATCTCTACATCTAGATATGCCATTTCTCCTCTTCTACGATTTTTCATCCAATAAATTAAAAGGGAAAGCTGTAGGTTGGCAGGCAAATCCAAAAACAAAAACAAAACTTATCCACCATGATCGTATTAAATGGTGGAGATGGCTCAAAGGGCCAAATTGCATATTCATGCTCCTAGTTCTTCTGTTCTTATGTTCTTTATTCTTCAGACTGATTCCAATATTCCAAAGGTGTCGCCTGTAACAGTCACAGTACATAGATGCAGAGAGTTTCTGACACATTGCAAAACAAAGCAAACTCCTTACTGCTTTTCTCCATAGAAAATTGGCAGACTTTGCAAAGTTTCCTGTCATAGGATTTGCAAAGCACCAACCAATTACTAATGGCACTTGGTCCTCAAAACGTAATCCAATGATCTTCTTGAACCTCAAGAAGCTGCATTCCATCAATAATCATTGACCATTGATCATTAGTCATTAACTGACAAATCGACCTGTTGCAAGCCAAAGTCACACTAACCTCATTTTAAAATATTCATTTTTGTCTAGACTATTTGAAGGAGAATGCAGACCAGGCAGGACTGAGCCAGCCACCAATTACAGCCAAATAGTGAACTTGTGAGGCCTATCAACTGTCAAGATTATTATCAAACACACTCTAGCCATCCTAAAACAGTACTTCAAGTCAATTTTACAGTTTCTTACAATGAACTGGTTTTAAATTTAGGGTCATGTCTTAGACATTTTCTTGCATTCAGTGGTGACAGCCACTTCCGCAACTGTATGTGTTCCTTCAGTAAGAGCTGTGCCAGTACTTCTCATATCTTCAAATACCTAAGTAGACAATACCATAAACCAACTCAGTAACAAGTCTGCAATCTCAAATGGATGGTCAAATTTTTTGCAGGTTTTTCTTCCATTTCTTTAAGGGCGTGTTGAGAAGAAACTTGATGAGACAAGGCAATATACAAATCATGAAGACATTTTATTTCATAGCAAGTAAAGATAAAATACAGCTACATTAACTCAGCCTTAACTGTGTTCAACAATGAGCTCCACTGTGTAATAATACAAAGTAACACACTACGCCAGCTTTTCTTATTCATCTGTGGAATGTGGGCATCACTAGCTAGCAGGCATTTATTGCCCATCCCTAGTTACCCTTGAGAAAGTGGACGTGAGCTGCCTCCTGGAACTGCTGTCATCCACATGCTGTTGGTTGACCCACAATGCTCTTAGGGAGGGAATTCCAGGATTTTGATCCAGCAACAGTGAAGGAATGGTGCAATATTTCCAAGTTAAGGTGGTAATTGGCTTGGAGGGAAACATGCAACTGGTAGTGTTCCCATGTATCTACCTATCAAGGTGCTGTCTAAGGATCTTTAGTGAATTTCTGCAGTGCATCCTGTAGATGGTACACACTGCTGCCAGTATGTTTTGGTGGTAGAGGGATTTGATGTCTGTAGATGCAGTGTCAATCATGTGGGCTACCTTGTCCTAGTTGGTGTCAAGATTCTTGTGTTGCTGCATCCATCCAAGCATGTGAGGAGTATTCCATCACACTCCTGACTTATGCCTTTAGATCATGGGCAAGCACTGGGGAGACAGCAGGTAATTAATTACCATAGAATTCCTGGCCTCTGAACTTGTAGCAATAGGATTTATATGGCTAATTCAGCTTATTTTCTAGTCAATGGTAACCCAGAGGATGTTGATAGTGTCGGATTCAGTGACGCTTATGCCATTGACTGTCCATGGGAGATGGTTCCATCTATCCTCATTCACTGGAAATAGACAATTGTCTGGCACATGTGTGGCGTGAGTGCTACTTGCCACTTATTGGCCAAAGCCTTGATGTTAACTAAGTTTTGTTGTGTAAGGAAATTAGCATCTGAGGAGTGATGAATGGTACTGAATATTGTGCAAGCATCCAACAGTTTCCCCAGATCTGACCTTATGAAGTTGAGATGAAGCAGCTGATGATGGTCGGGCCTAGGGTGTTTCCTTGAGGAACTCCCGCTTTGTTGTCCTGGATCTGAGAATGATTGACAGTCAACAACCATAGCAATCTTCCTTTCTACTCTAACCAGCAGAGATTTTTCTACCTGATTCCCATTGAGTTCAGTTTTCCTAGGGTTCCTTGTTGCCATACTCATTCAAAAGCTACTTTGATGTCAAGGGCAGTCATTCTCACCTCACCTCTAGAGTTCAGCTCTTTGTCAATCCTTGGAACAAGCTTGTAAAGGAAGTCAGGAGTTGAGTTACCTGGCGGAACCCAAATTCAGCAGCAATGAACAGGTTATGACTCAGTAGATGCCGCTTGATAGCATGGTTAATAACCCCTAATATCACTATGCTGATGATCAAGAGAAGACTGATGTAATTGGGCCAACTGGATTTGTCTTGCATTTAGTGGATAAAAATACCTGGTCAATTTTCCACATTGATGAAAAGATGCCAATACTGTAGTTGTATTGGAACAACTTGAATAGGAATATGTAGAGTTCTGGACCACAAATTTCAGTGTCCCCAAAAGACTGTTCAGTGGTCACCTACAACGTCATGGCAACAGGCATCTGCAACAGGTAGATTGGTGAGGATAAAGTCAAGCAAGTTATTCTATCTTGTTGTTTCCTTCACAACCTGCCCCTCACCAATTTGTGTAGTTATGCCTTTTAGGATTCAGCTATCTCAGTGACAAGTGGTGCTACAAGCCACTTTTGATAGTGCATATTAAAATCCCCCACCCAGAGTACATTCTGTGCTTCTTCCAATTGATGTTAAACATACAGCACTGCTTCAGCAGCTGAGGTGGGATGCAGGTGGGTTGTAGTATTGGCTAGTCAGTTGCCAATTTCTTTCCCCATGTTTGACTTGATGCCCTGAGACTTTAGGGGGTCTTCCTTCCCCTTTCCCAACCTTACTCAAAGATTCTGTATCATGCTGGAATGTTGCTCCAAGTGGTGTAAACTCTCTGGTAATTTGTTGTCTAAATTGTGAGTGCCAAAATATTTTCTGGTCTTCCGTGTAAGAGAGAAAAGAAAATTGAACCCAAAACCCTAAATTACACTTCTTTCAAGAGGATTATTAAACAGAGATCAAAATGAGAAGCCCCACTTGTTTTTCTCTCCTTGTTTCACATAAATATTAACAGAAAAATAATTATTATTTGCCAATTATCCCAGGCCAGGGATCAAACTGGGGCTTTCTACTTTGCAATGATTCATTACAGAGAGGATCAATGTTAAACTTATTAGATAGTGTCCAAACAGTTTTAACATGTGGAAAAATAATCTTCCAGGATGTCCTTTGTACCATCCTTAAGTTTCAATTTAAAAGGCCTTTATACATTTTCCCAGCATTTGGCTGTCAACTAGCTGAGTTCTAGCCCAAGCATTAATTTGGGTACTTCCATTCTTCAATTTCTCAACAATTCATTATTATTGCTGCAGTCCACCTAGAGAGTTCCTGAAGCACACACTGACAATTTAATGATAGCAGAAAGATAAGAATCCTGATAATTAATTCATCCTACATTGTCACTTAAGATATTAACGTGGGGACATATTTATCATCAGAACATATTCATATAAAGAAGCAATGTATAAATAGTAAAATCAAGATGATTTTAAATGTGGGACAGTCAGAATCATCAGATTTTAGAATGACACAGCATAGGGAAAACTATTTAGCCATGTGTGCTGAATGTTGCTATTGTCCAAAATACTTAGATTTACTTTGCATCATGAACAGCAGACACAACCTATACATGATTTTTGATGTGAGACTGAAAAGCATTGACTGAATCACAAAGACCAGTTGCCTCAATGAGTTCAGTTCCTGGGCTTAGTTCACCAATCTTAGCCAAAGTGGTATTGGGATGTTATAGCTTGTTGGTGAAAATTCAGCCAAATCTCACATTAATGATCATTATCCAGTGCTGCTGATTAGAAAATATATAAGTGTGGAAATTTAAAGGAATGGATGTGGTTCATCCACAGTGTCTACCGCAGGCCAATAGGCAGTACATCTTCATTGCCCTGGGTCACAATTAGGAAACAAATCATTTAGAAAGAATTTTGTAGGGAACCATTTCCAATGGAGCAAAATTATGTCAGAAGATATTGGACCTTCATTTCTGAAGAACCTACTCTGGATAAATACTTATTAGGTTATTTTTTTCACATGTTAAAACTGTTCAGACACATAACTAACAAGTTTAAAATACCAATTTTCTATTCCAGGCCAAATAATGCAATGATCATCAGGGGAAACTTCAGAACAGTTTCACACTTTTCATTGTTTCACATACACATATTGAAATAGACTAATTGCAAGAAATTGACACTGCATGTCTTTAATATTGACAATGCTATATTAATTGTATTTAAAAGATTGGATCTGTGGATATAATAACTGAAGCATGTAGCTCAGTTTTCTCATCTTTGACACCCATGATATTTGCTTGAACAGCAGTAAAAATCCTTGTACTCTGTCCTTGATGCCTGCGCCCTGTCATATCTGTTGGAGGGGAGGCAGTGAGATAAGACCGAAACTTACTGTAAACTCCTTGGAACTACGAGTTCTCCATTATATCATCATTTTGAATGCACTGACGCATAAGATGTATCAACAGATGATAATAAGAGCAATCTTTTCGAATATAGGACACATGTTAACAATGTACATTTTTCCTCCAACTCTTTTCCAATTATACATATCATAACTCTTCCACGAGCGTTTGTTAAATACGTGCTATTCCGTTTGAACGAGAGCTTTGTACTAAAAAATCTTGCAGGTGCAGCAGAGACCTTGGCCGGAGTCTGCAGCTGATTTTTTTTATATTCGAAAACAGTTACACTGTGTTGTTAAATAAGCCGTCAAGGTCTTTCAAACGGGATAAATGTGGATGAGAGACAGCTTCTCGGTATTCTGTCTGCAAGAGGGGTAAGTAGTGCTTTTGCAGTGAAAATTGATTGGGCATAATTACGAACAGAATAATATCAATGTAAATTTATACAACTGTCTGTTAAAATGAAAGAAAATGCATTATGTCCTAGTCTTAAGGACAGATGTGGTTAGGTGAAACTTTACCATAGCATAACAGTTAAGATATTTCAAGACATTTAGGAAAGCTTTTATAGAATCTCATAAACGAGTTCTTTTGTGTGTATAGTACATGTTTACGTCATCATAGAGCTTCTATTTTTATACACTGACAAGGATAAATTTGTTTTTGAGAAAAGCTTCGATTTGGTACCGAGACTAAAAATAACAACTTGAAATGAGCACCGTTGAATTTTCGCGTAGGTCTATGTAGTTGAATAATGCCGCGTGTCCAATTTTAATAAAGGCTTGTGAATGGTTTTATTACAGGACTGCACAGCACTTGCTGGGACTTCGCCTGTACTCGTTGTTCCTTTTTCCTATGCACATACCTCTTTGAGAATTTGGTCTAAAGAGGCATAGGGCATGGGAAAATGGGGCGATGGAGGCTGCGTCTTCTGCCCGCAAGCCATTGAAGAGAAGGAACCTGCGTCGTTCTAGGTCAACGCCAACCGCTTTGCTAAAGTGGCTGGCAAAATCTCTGAACGTCTTTCTTTTTCAACATGCTACTTTAAAATAAAATCAAACTGCCGAAAACTTTATATTTCTATGCATTGCTGCAATAAAGTCGTCAATATTCAATTTCATTGCCTGAGTGTCTTTGTTTCAAACTACTTTTCCACATCGGGTGCAAATCGAAAGTGGAATAATCTATTCAAGCACAGTTCTGATTAAACCAGTTATATATTTCAGAAATGGCATATTTTACAGCAGAGTTTTGTCAAATACATCACCAAATATACAACTCAAAGTGTCAGTCACTGTCAAAACCATTCAACCTGTCAGTCACATCTCGGAATTCCGAGTTCAAAAACACACACCCTATTTCTGGACAAGAGTAGTATAATATATATACAGACATGGGGTCAAAATACTTCCAACATTTAGAGACTGTAAATGTTCAACTGGAAAACATGCCTGGGGACGATTAATACAAAAGCTAAGCAACTGGTGGGAGTTCTTTTTCACTACTCAAGCTAAAAGAAACACATTAAAGTTCACGTGACAGTGACAAAAATACGAAAATAATCTAATCAAAATGTGTGGGAAAAAAAGGAAAGAGACTATGAATTAGCGTGAGGACTGTATTCTAAAAGTGCCTTTGTAGCTAATGCAAAACCACAACTTTAGAACTAAACTCACAATAGCTCCTTAAAGAAACCTCACCATTTATAAAACTGAATTAGAAAAGCCATTATTTTAGGTGGTGGTAAGGACAGTGACTCTCATTTTAAATGACGCAGAATCAAAGATCTAGTATTTAAATTTGCTTTGTTTTGGTTTGAAATTTTCCAATCCAGTAACCCATGCCAGTGATAACTGTCCGGTTATTTTAAGAGTGCATTGATTCTATTCGCCGTCCATGGCCAGTAACTGTTCGGTAGCTTTTGCCCCGGGTTTAAATGGAGTATTTCAGGCCGCCAGCTCCCAGCAAAAAGGTCTTCCAAAGCCGTTGGTTGTCAACCTCAAAAGTAAACTTACTACATTCCTTAAGTCTAGCAAAACAGAATAAACAAACGGTGGTTCTTCCAGGCTGTCTGCTTTAGAAAATCAAATTCTTTCTTTCTCAAGGGGTTATTGCCGGCAAAGTCTCTCAGGTGCCCATAGCATCACGTTAAATAGAAGCTAAAACAAGTGAAGGTATTACTATTTGACTGAGGGGGGCTTCACAGTTCCAACTGAGTCTATCCACGCTGGCGCGCAGGGGCGGGAAATATGTTCCGTGGATTTGCTTTAAAACAAATGGATTAGATGCCACCCGCCTACTGTTGTTTTTCGGACACCTTTGAATACAAGATACGGAACATGTTGCCCTCACTGTCAAACTCACTACCTCACAGTCACGCTGCAGTTCAGTGGATACCTGTAAAGATATGACATTTAGAGCGTGTGACCTATTCCTTACGAATAGTTCACAGATTTCTAACATCCGCAGTTCTTTGTTTTATTTTAAGGTTGATTTGGAAATGCGCTCTCACACTTTGGAGTTGGGTGATCTCAGTTTAGATTTGCAGTTGTATTAATATGCAGTTGCATTTATGTCACTTTTCTAGAAGAGATTACTGAGCCTTCGGGAGCAGGAACTCTGTTTGATTTTCTCTCAAACCAGGAAAGCAAAGATTTTGGAGCCCTCCCCCCTCCCGCTCACTCATGCCTTTCACCTTCCAGATTAAATAAAACAGCGTTATTCTTACACTGCACTCCCGAGGGCCGTCCCTCGGTGACGCCCAGAGCACATTCCCAAAACAACCTTAATTAAAACAAACAGCTGTGATGGTAGAAATCTCAAACAAAAACAGAAATCACTGGAGTATCTCAGCAGTTTTGGCAGCACCTGTGGAGAAGAAAAAGCGGAGCTTTACGGTGGCTCAGTGGTTAGCATTACTGCCTCACAGCGTCAGGGACCCGGGTTCGATCCCACTCTCGGGCAACTGTCTGTGTGGAGTTTGCACATTCTCCCCGGGTTTGCTCTGGTTTCCTCCCACAGTCTGATGATGTGCAGGCAAGGTGGATTGCCCATGCTGTTCAGCGATGTGGTGGGTTGTAGGGAATGGGTCTGGGTGGGATGCTCTGAGGGTTGGTGGGCCGAAGGGCCTGTTTCCACACTACAGGGATTCAATGACTGACGTTTCGGGCCTTCTCTGAAGAAGGGTCAGTGGATTTGAAACGCTAACTCTTATCTCCTCACAAATACTGCCCGTTCTGCTGAATTTCTCCAGCGATTTCTGTTTTTGTACCTTCCTATTCTGACACAATCTTCCACACTTATATTAATATTCCTTTCCTATTAAGCAAACTAAACATTTAATCCATTTTAATTCGGGCTGCGAGGACTCGAGTGGAACATAGAATGAGACAGTTAGTCAAGTGATTGGATACTCCGTTCATGCAGGACTAGCGGTGCCGACAGGAATTGCAGGCAACATTAATGGCGAGTGCTGGCGGTTGTTTGATGGGTAACGCCGGTAAGAAGCAGGGACACGAGTGGGCCATTCTGCCCATCGAGATTGCAGCTTCATTTAATAAGACCATTGCTGATCTGATGTAGCCTCACCTGCACTTTCCTGCTTGATCTGCATTAGGGTCAGACTTGGGTTTGCACTTAAAACGAGAGCTTCCCAGCTCGCGGTTCCTCACCGTGGCCAGGATTGTGGACAGTTCTGTGAGCGAACGGATACAACAAAATCATAAACTGGTATGTATGACCAGATCAGAACCAATCTCAAATGCCCAACAAAGTAAATGGCTTGCGTCCCAATTTTTTTTATTAACCTTTTGCTCTAATCAACCTATTTAGAGATGTTGTTGCACATCTAAAGACAGCAGATGGGACTTGAATCCGGGCCTCCCGGTCCAGGGGTAGGGACATTACAACTGCGCCACAGGAGAGTTTTCAGGCAGATGTGCAAAAGTAAATGATTTAAAATTGCGTCTTCGAAAACATACGGCATTTTTAAAATAACTAAGCGGCAACATGTTCATTTCATGTACTGTTTCAGAAGATTGAAACAAGGAGACCGTGAATTTGTAATATAGTCCCAGCAGACGGAATAAATATCTTTTAGGGATCAAAATGCAAGTGACAGCAGATGCTGGAAATCAGAAGCAAACGGAACAATGTTGGGAGTTTAGAGTCAACACAGTGTGGAGCTGGAGGAACACAGCAGGGCAGGCAACATCAGAGGAGCAGGAGAGTCTACGTTTCGTGCCTGAACCCTTCATCACAGCGGGGGAGGGGGAAGGGAGCTGGGAACTAAGTGAGGGGGTGGGGCTGGGCGTAGGTAGGTGGGATGGCCAAAGGTGGATGCAAGTAGGTGGTAGTGGGGTTTGGTCAGTGGGAAGGGAGGGAAGAAGATTGACAGGTCGTGTCAGGTCAAGAAGGAGGGATGAGAGGGAGGGTTGGACATGGGATGGAGAGATTTTGAAACTGGTAAATTCTATGTTCAGGCCATTGGCTGTAGGCTCCTGAAGCAGAATGTGAGGTGCTGCTCCTCCAGTTTGGGGGTGGCATCATTGTGGCACTGGAAGAGGCCCAGGAAGGACATGTCACCCAGAGAGTGGGAGGGGGAGTTAAAATGGTTAGCAATCAGAATGTATTGTTGATTATCGCGTATCACCACACCGAAACTGGAGGAGCAACACCTCATATTTTGCCTCACGAGCCTACAGCCCAATGGCCTAAACATAGAATTCACCAGTTTTAAAATCTCCCCACCCCCCCACCTCATCCCACATCCAATCCTCCCTCTCATCCCACCTCCTTGACCTGACACAAACCTGCCCATCTTCTTCCCTACCTATCTGCCCCATCCATCCCACTGACCAATCCCCACCAGCCCCTACCTGCATCCATCTATCACCATCCCACCTACCTTCCTCCAACCCCATCCCTCCTCCCTCTCACCTCCTTGACCTGACACAAACCTGTCCACCTTCCCTCCCACCTATCCGCCCCACCCTTCCCACAGACCAATCCCCACCACCCCCTACCTGCATCCATCTATCACCATCCCACCTACCTTCCTCCAACCCCATCCCTCCTCCCTCTATTTATTTCCCCTCTCCCTTTCCCCTCCCCAGTTCTGAAGAAAGGTCCTGACTTGAAACATCAGCTTTCCTGTTCCTCTGATGCTGCCTGTGTTCCTTCAACTCCACACTGTGTTGACTCTGACTCCAGCATCTGCAGTTCTTGGTATCTTTGAATGTTGGGGTTCACTTGCAGTCCTGAGTAAGGCCTGCAGTCCAACTGTAATACAACCTGGGAATTATAGGTGGGCTTTTGCCAGAAATGCCTCACCATCAAAACGTTAATAACATTTGGACCCACTGTGCTCACTAAAGTATTTAATGCTAACAATGTTACAGGCTTCTCCAAACTCTGAGCAGAACCTTACAGGTATGTACTTTCCTCATAGACAGCAAGGCTTTCCGAACTAGAAGAAATACTCAGCTATTGCATCACAAAAAAAGGCATAGTTGCACCCCAAGACTTTAATTGAACACTCAGCAGTTAATGGGAACCATTATTTTAGCCAAATATTGAAATGACTAATAGAATGGAAACAGAACTTCAACATGTCCTTAATTCCATTGAAACACAACAATGAAACATTATTTTGAGACATGGATAACGTGATACTTTTAAAGACAGGTCCAAAATGGCCATGCAGGACATTCTCAATACCGACATTTAGACACAAGTGGGTGTGCGAATCAGATAGGAATGTAACAAAAACAGAAGTTGCAGGAGAAACTCAGCAGGTCTGGAGAGAAAGCAGACCTTCCAGTTCAGTAACTCTTCTTCAGACAGGAATGTGTTGTGTTTAGTCTGGAGCAGAATTTCTGCGATTAACTTTCTTCAAATTTCACGATTGTTTTCCCCGAACATCTGATTTTGTAACAACTCCACATCTGCTTTGCTCCAGTTAAGAGCTATTTGACTTTGGTGGAAGTTTTAAAACAATCGATTGCTATTGAACATGCCAGCCCAATGGGGTTAGAAATTCAGCCTAGTACATCAAAACCTCTCAATGTTAGCCATGATTGGCATATTCCCCGTGACCTGACATCCATTTGTAAATGTTTTGACCTACTGAGGTTTTACTCAGTAAACCTGATGCATGCAGGCAAGTTGTCTTTTGATTTTCATCCTGAGCTGTAGCAAAGGTCTCATCATATTTTATAATTACAGCCATTCTCTGAGTTATAAAATAAAAAAAGCTTCTTACTTTTTGTAAAATATCAAACATTTATCACATTTTATTTAAGAACACACTATTTGGATACATTTGACATCTCACTTCATTGTGTATCTGATGTTCTTTAATTTAATGCCAGTTGTCTGAAAATGGATGAAATGTTCACCTCTGCCCTTCCCAAAGCACTTGTTGTTAAATTCAAAAACAATAAAAATCAGTAGGCTGTTAATTTAACAATACTAAATAAGTACACGTTAATTGCCAACAAAAGTATTTGCAGAAGAGAAGGGGAATGAAATGAGACATAATTGAGTCAGATTGTTACAAAACTGCTGCTTTGTGATGATATTGTTGGGTAGAAAAAAATGGTCCAAAAAGATATGCTGGTTAGGTGGATTGGCCATACTAAATTGTCCATAGTGTCCGGGGATGTACAGGTGGGGTGGGTTAGCCATTGGACATGTGGAGTTACAGGGATAAAGGCGGGGCGGGGGATCTGGAAAGGATACTGTTCGGATGGTCATTGTAGACTCGATGGGCCAAATAGCCTTCTTCTACACTGTCGGAATTCTGCGAAAGAAAAGGTTTTTTAGAAGGACATGATGATAAAGCCGACAAGTATAGGCCTGTCAGCCTAACATCCATAAAGGGGAATCCTTCAGGTAATAATGTGGGGGAAAATAATTGGCATTCGAAGCATATGGTTTAATGAATGAAAATCAGTGCGGATTTGTTAAAGGTACATGGTCTTTGACTAACTGAATCAAATTCTTTGAAGAATAATGGAGTGAGTTATGAGATTAGTGTGGTTGAAATGAATATGAACCTTCAAAAGGTGTTAGATAAAGCACCATGTAAGAAATTACGAGATTAAAGGGAGCAGCAGTTTTTTTTAGCAGATTAGAGGGAAGCATACAATGATGTTCTCCAAGCATCATAATTAGAAGCACTGCTCTGGTATTAATCATCTAGATATAAATTAGGGCACAAGGTTTCCTATTGACAGAAGACCTGGAAAGGTAGTTAACAGGAACAAGCAGACAAATAGACTTTGGAACGATTTAAGCAGACTGTGAAATCGACATATATATGGTGGATGATATTTAATACAGGGTATTGTGAAGGAATTTAGTCAGACCATATAAAATAGGAGCAGAGGTAGGTCCATTCAGACAATTGAGTCTGCTCTGCCACTCAATGAGATCATGACTAATCTAATAGCCTACAACTTCACTTTCCTGCCTTTTCCCCATATCCTTGATTCCTTTACTGATGAAAAATCTGTCACTCTCAGCCTTAATGAATTAGCCTCTTCAGCCCCCTCTGTGGTAAAGAACTCTACAGATTCTCTACCCTCTAGGAGAAAATATCCTCACCTCTGTCTTAAATCAGTCATATATTTATTTAGTTACTATAAATTTACTTTTCTAAATTTACTTTGACATGGAAAATGAGAAGAGAAACAGAGATTTAAAGGTGTAGGCACAAGCTTGCAGAGCAAGTTGTTAAAAGACCCGGGTGATAACGGATGTTACACTTGTGGAAGAAGTATCTTTGGAATTACATAATAAATTAAGTAAAAGATCATATGTCATAATTTAAAATAGAGCAAATGCCTTGGTGATTTAACAAATATGGCTTCTGCGGTGTCTTTAGTGGCATTGTGGTCTGGCCGGGCATACCAATGGGTGAGATTAGGTGGCTTCAATGTCAGCTTTCTACAGTGGTGGAGAACGTGGTTCTTTTCTTTTTACATGACCTTGGGAACCCATTAGTCTGAATTGAACAAAGATGGCCTTTGTCTTAATTTTTTAATATACGATTTCTGTTATTAATATAAGCACTGGGATATGGCAACTTAAACACTTTTGACTGTATTTTTTGTAAAATTGCAAGTGACAATTCATTACTATTCTATTCTAATATCCCTCATCCCATAGCTGTATTGGGAAGTTGATATGGTGGGTCCTTTCTGACTATCTATTTCATCCTCGATGCCTCAATTTCTTTTTAAAATTAATGTTTCTTTAAATTTTCTCCTGGCCCTTCCCTCCCCATCCCTGCAAATATGTCCAGCCTGAGTCCTTTGTGACCCCAGTCCCTCCTTTGCCCCTACTATTAATGAATAGGGTTTTTTGAACTCTGGACTTCTTTCTCTAAGTCTCAATCTCCTGCATTGAAATATATCTTACAATCTGTCCCCTTAGTAGACTTTTAGATATTTCCCCGGATGCCTGCACGAAAAGAGCTTACTTCTTTGCTAGAGGTACAAGATACATACAGAACTAATCTAACCAGATTGGGCAAAACTGCTCCCGCCACCCATATATGAATGAGAACCAGAGGGCACAGCTTTAAAGTAATTGGTAAAGGAAACACAAGTGACATGAGGGAAAACATTTTCACGCAGCGACTGGTTAGCGACTGGAATGCATTGCCTGAGAGTGTGGTGAAAGCAGGGACAATCTAAGTTTCAAAAGGAAAAGATTTTAGACTGTTATATAAAAAGGACGAATGCGCATGGTTACAGAGAGAAGAGGGGGATGGCGCTGGGTGAGATGCTAATTCTGAGCCCTTGTGCAAAAACAGGCACTCCTTATGGCCTCCTTAACAATAGCACCATTCAGTGACTGTGTGAGGTTGCTGGTCGCCAATCTGACTACGCCCCTCATCTGGTTCTGAAAAATCTACTCATGTAAATTATAAAACTGTGATCTTCCCTGACACGTTTAAATCAAGCGTGCCACTGAGCTGGCGCCGAATATATAAATTGCACTGAGTTCATAGCTGATTCAGTGAAGAACAATCACTTATTCAATTCCAATTATCATTTTCAATTACAATGTCCCAAAAAGAGAAAACGCAGGCAGCATTAGTCGCTTCCTCTGTGAAGGACAGACACTTGTTCATCAAAATCATTCCCGTCGGATCTCAGTAAATGACAGCACAAACTCATCCTTCCATTCCAGGCGTGATTAAATCTTGTCTCCACAGTTTAACACAGAAATAAATTAGACCATTGTATGTAAATGATTAATAGATGCAACAAAGCGAAACAAGACTTTATAACCACCTTCCCCTTTAACGACTTCAGTATAAAATATCATAAAGTTAGCACTCGCATGAAATGGTGCCCATCAAATGCAGATTTTTACTCGAATATCCGTAATGTTTTTGATGACATTGTCTGGTCCCGAGGTAGATATTTCCAACCTGGAAGAACGGACCGAATGGTCTCAATCTGTTTCAGAGATAGTAGGAACTGCAGATGCTGGAGAATCTGAGATAACAAGGTGTAGAGCTGGATGAATACAGCAGGCCAAGCAGCATTTTTTCCCTCCGGAAAAACCTCAGTGGATCTCTCTCCCACTGCAATTCTCTCGTAATCTCTTCGGCCTTGAAACTGCTCGACCACGTCCTGAAGCAAACCGGGTACTACAGCCACATCACCTTTCTTAGTACCTGCCTACGGAACCGGTATCAATGCTGCTTGGCCTGCTGTGTTAATCCAGCTCTACACCTGGTCTCAATCTATGCCTTAATGTTTCCGAGGCTGACATGTAGTTGCCCCCTTTGGAACGCTGTCAACAAAAAGAAATCTGTGACAAAGAATAAATAGTTTGATCTGATTCCGCAATTACTGTTCCCCCCTCCCCCCCCCCCGTCCCATTTTAATCCCGGATCTCTCTCCTTCTCTCCCACCCCCACCCCCCATTGCAGTAACTGTGTTGTGTTTAGGTCAGATAATCATATCTGTCGGTTGGATTCACAGTATTTACCTTGAGTTAATTCATCACCGACACTTATCGGTATATTGATAATGTCATTTTATTTCTAGTTGAACTTGGCGCCACATCTCGATATCCTCAATTTATCACGTCGTGTATTCATGGTTCTTCTGTCGGATGTTGCAAGGGTCTGCTGGTGAGTCAAACTCTTGTTTATTGGAATCCTTGCTTTGATGTAGAGGCGAATTTACTCACCAGTGTAAGAAAAAGCCCCATAAATACTAGCTGTTCCTGACACCGCCGCGGCTCTCTTGTGCTGGGGGTTGAGGATGCTGGAGGTCCCCTATTCTGTGGAGTGGCTTGCTCAGAGCAGTCTGAGACTGGGTGGGCCTGGGCAGCATGTCGGCCTGTGCCATGACCGAGACAGACAATCGGCCGGCAGCAACCAAGCGTTCCCTGTCCAACAAGAGACAGGAGATGGTGACCTGTGCAGAGCCGACACAGCACACAACAAAGACAGAAGGATTCCCAATAAAGGCAGCCCAGTAAGGATCAAGAACCAATGGGGCAAAACTCCACAGGGAGCTTCTGAATCCCCTGGTAAGTAATGAGTGATGAGTAACTAGCAACGAAGGGACATCGTACTCCTTAATGAACTATGGTTTCAACTTAGATCCCCTTTTCCGGTCTTAAACTTTTTTTTACTTAGTAGATTTATCCCCTTGTCGTTTCCCAGTCTTCACCCAGCTTTCTTTAGCGTTTCCACCCCGTGTGACGTTTTGTATAATGGATTCGTTTAGAAAAGATAAATCTAGAGGTAAACTGACTTCTGGAGCTGGAATCGAAACCCAGCTGACCTGGTTTCAAAGAAGGGTCCAGACCCGAAACGTCAGCTTTCCTGCTCCTCTGATGCTGCTTGGCCTGCTGTGTTCATCCAGCTGTACACCTTGTTATCTCAGATTCTCCAGCATCGGCAGTTCCTACTATCTCTGACCTGGTTTCAAAGACTAGACAGGTTACAGCGGAGGGTTGGCCTTATGCATTTTACTGGAGAAGACCAAGCAATTGTCTCCGGTGGTTTGCACCAACCTTCAATGAGCAGCATGTTTGCTTTTTCTAAACAGTGACCTGCGGAGTTAGTGCTTCCGGGGACAAGGACTCCAGAACCGAGGAATGGGCTGATCGCCGGCGGCTCCGCACTGTCTTCACGGTGGAACAACTGCGCGTTCTCGAGTTGAGTTTCCAGTGTCAGCAATACCCGGGATCCGAGCAGAGGCGGAATCTAGCTGGAGAGCTTCACCTATCCGAGACACAGGTGAGAACTTCCCCCTTCTCTACTTCGGCCCATGTCCATGCTCAGCTGACCCTTTCATATGCATCCCTCTAACATTGGCGGACTAAATGAGTGGATAGACGGCTCATAACCAGCTTCTGTCTTTTGCACCTTATCATCAGCCTTGGGAAAAGTTTTCATCTCATGCTGCCACCTAACTTGGCTAAGAAGGGAATTCTTGTCCAGCTACCCAGGGAACACAGATTTTACTCTGCTGTCGAATAGCACAATGAAATTATTGGGCAGTGTACAGTATGTGAAAACTCCCAAAGTATTTCCATACAATAATAGGGAAACTGTTTCCAACCCTCAACTTATCCATACACAGCAAGCTCCTTTGGTTTTTATGCCATTGAGGGAATGATTGAAAAGAGTTCTGTTGAAAGGCCATCACCAATCTAAACCATTCACCCCATTTCTCTCTACTTGGCCCAGGCAACCCATATTCAAGTCCCATCCACTAGGGTGTCTAATTTGAACAGATTGATTAAAAATAGTTATTTCTCTCCAGAAACCTACTGCACATTTCCATCATATTCTGTTTTATATTAGATTTCCAGCATTTTCAGTATCTCGCTTTTACTGATTTGATTAGATTGGTCGTTTCCACACTTAAAACAGCCAATATCCGACCAGTGGATCAGTGACAGGGATTCAAAAAACTTCAGATATTGTGGTTTTGCAATGAAAATGACATACGACCAGCAGGTTTTTTTATTGCAAAATTATGCTTTATTCGTAGAAATTATGTACATAATTTGGCGCGGCACAGTGACTTAGTAATTAGCACTGCTGCCTCACTGCACCATAGAGCTGGGCTCAATTCCAGCCTTGGGCAACTGTCTGTGTGGAGTTTGCACATTCTCCCCGTGTCTGCGTGGGTTTCCTTCAGATGCTCCGGTTTCCTCCCACAGCCCAAAGATGTGCAGGTTAGGTTGATTGGGCATGCTGAATTGGCCCATAGTGTCAAGAAATGTATGGGTTGGGTAGATTAGCCATGGGAAATACAGGGTTGCAGGGATAGGGTGCGGATTGGTTCTGAATGGGATGCTCTTTGGAGGGTCAGTGAGGACTTGATAGGCTGCATGCTTCCACACTGTAGGGATTCTATGATTCTGTGATATGAAAGGCCCTAAAATGGTCCTATACAGTCTGTAGCAAGAAAGAAAGCAAACAACATTTAAATTTGACATCCCTCAGATCACCTCTGCAGTTGCAAAAACAGAGGTGTTTCCAATCATGGAGGAAAGTATTTACATTAATTTTCAGGCAAAGAGGGTGTCTGAAAACTGAATGGACCCCTGTTATACTTGGGCAGAAAGGCCTGAGATGGTGGCCTTTCCCTACTGCGCCTTGGTGGCACCTTTTTTTAATTTCAAAAATATACTTTATTCATAAAAGTCAAATGCATACATAGTCACTACAGCAGTTCAATTCTGTACAGTTTTTGCATTTGGGGAACAAACAAACCCAAGGCATTTCTTTCTTATACAAGATTATGTTTACGTACATTTGAAGCACCCGGAGGGTTCAATAACTGAATGGAGCCCCATTATACTTTGGCAGAAAGTCCTTAGATAATTGTCTTTTCCCACTGCGCCTTGGACGCAGCTGCCCCAAGAACAGCTTTGGCTGAAGACTATTTAGTCAGAATTGCCACATTGTATGGCCAGATTTTCAAAAGTCAAAACCAGCTCACATTAAAAAGCCCTTGGGAAGTCAAGACTGCTACAGTTGAGTGACCAATACTTGGAGTCTTTGGGAAGGTTATGTGTTATCTTAATTGGCCTAGATACAAAACAATCATGTTGTAACACACAGTTGCAATGCATTGCTCCCACCTCAACTGTTACTGCATCTGGCCAGAGACTGTAAACCCTAGTGGACAGTTCGTGGGGAACGTAAAACTTTTGTTTTATCTTTTGGCTAATATTCAGTTTATAAAAGTGTTGCAGTGCTGCATCTGAAAATACTACTCAGAAAACTGCCTTCCAATGCTCCCAGACTCCATTACCATCATGCCAGTGCCACTAAAGGCCAGAATCTGTTTTTTTTGTACTGACATTCCAACATTTTCCCAACCTTCTGCCTACTCTTGTTGCATATGGAATATTGAATTCAAACATGCTCTCACCCTATTTTCAAACTAAATCTTCAATTTAAAAGGTCCAGTCGAAATAGGTAGAATGTGTTATGGCCAAATTTATAACACACACTATTGGCAAATGTCTCAAGCATCATGGAGTCAGAGAATTCCTCGAGTTATTATATACAAACACGGGCATGGATTGCCAGGTTATTATATGACTAACACTCCCACAATAATCTGTAGTAAAAAGATCATTTGATTTATTCAATTGCCATAAAATAATGACCTCCTAATATGTTAAAAGTACATGGGTTGGCATTCTATTTGACCCTGAACTGAACCTCAAACATCTAACCCCTAAAGCACCAAGCCAACCTACTTCAAGGTCCATTCATTTACCCTACTTTCAGCTTTACCCCAGCACATTCAGTGCTGAAATACTTCTCCAGTACCTCATGATCTTTAGAATGGACTATATCAATGATTTCCTGGCTAGCCTCCCAACTGGCGCATTCCATAAACCTGAGCTCATCCAAAACTTTACTGACTGTATCCTAACTACCACAAAATTCCCTTTTCTTGTTGACCTACATTGGCTCCCAGTCTGCTAATACCCCGGTTTTAAAAATTTTCAACGTTGCTTTCAAATCTATCTTCATCATATACCCCAAACCTCCTCACAGCCCCATGTTATCTCACTCAGTGGTCTCACCCCTCACTATTTCTAATCTCCTTCAGTCATACAAGCATCAATGATATTGGAAGATTCCAATTCTTGCACATCTTCAATTTTCATCATTCCATTATTGGTAGCCCTGCCATCATCTTTCTTTGCCCTAAGACCTGAAATTCCTGCTCTAAAAATCTCCAGTTATTTATCTCTCTGCCTTTAAGAGACTGTCAAATTACTTTTATTGACTAAGCTTTTATTAATCTGTGCTATGTGGCTTGGTGCCCAATGTTGTTTGCCAATGCTCTTTTGAAGCAACATGGAATGTTTTACTACATCATATCTAGTATAAGGTAACTTCTTGTTTTTAAGGCAGCATATCCTCTGGCTGACCATGTGAAATTCCATTGGCGATCTTGCTAATGTTTATCATGACATGGAGTTCTTCTATTCCCAGTGTACATTAACAAATTTCAGCAGGGAAACAATACGAATCCCTGGGTTACAGAGGAGGAAAAAATTCACCTTGGAATTGTTCAACGACCTTTGCTAAAAAAATGTCTAGCATTGTCAATTTTGTGTAAAGCAGGAGCAGACTTTATTGCATGCTTCCTAAACCTTGAACAGCATAGCAATGTTTCCTGTCCAAACTCAGAGAGCAAACAGTGGCAATTTGAGTGAGTTGGTGGGGCAAGCTGGAAACCATGGAGTCATAGCCCTGTGAGTCACTCACAGTAGGCTGATTTTCTTTTGTTAATTCATGGATGTGAGCACTGCCAGCAAGGTCAGCATTTATTGACCATGTCTAATTGCACTTGAGAAGGTGATAGTGAACCACCTTGAATTATTTCATTCCATGTGGTCTAGGTACTCCCACAGTATTGGTAAGGATGATTTGCACAATTAAAGCAAAAAGGAAATGGGGTCGTAATGTTCTAATGCTGCAAAGTAAGGACATTTTTCATGGTCAACAATATTTTGCACAGTTCCTGATGTCAGTCATGCTATCTGCTTGCATGAGTATGAAGTAGAAAAAGCATGCATAAGGGTGTGCAGGAAGGAAAATTTATTGTTTGTGCCCAGGTACTTAAGATCATAGAAACCCTAAATGGCTTGAAACCAGATGTTCATTTATTTGTGCTGATGCTGTTTCATATTCATTTTCAGGTCAAAACATGGTTTCAAAATCGTCGAATGAAACTCAAACAGCAGCTTCAAGATGCTCAGGCTGAGGCATTTAAGTCAAGATTGTTTCTTCAGTATTTCTCCAATCCTTATGTCTCCATTCAAAGTTTTTATCCCATGACAGATTCTAGCTGTGTTGCTCATTTCAACGAATTTGGACCTCACCATACACAGACTTCTATGCCTTTACGTTCTCTTGACCATCAGTCAAACTTACCTCAGAGCAATGCAAAAGCCACTCCTTGTCGATTCCATCCATATCTGCGTATCTAATAAAGAAATACATTTATGGTAACATAAAATGCACATCAAAAGAATAATTATAGACATTCTTTCATCAGGCAACATATTATAGTATATTTATTTTTTCATCTGTTTTTGCAATCATTCGTAGGACATTATTGCAATTGTAGGTACTAAATCGTGATGTCTTGAAAATGTTCATCAGTAATCTGTGCTGAATAATCCACCCTAAGTCAGGTTGTGCTGAGAGTAAAGCATTGGTTTGCATTATTGTAATATACATTCCTTTTTATTTGTGAATTTTTTGATAGATTACACAGGAGTTTTCAAAGGAGTTACTGCAAGAATACATACAAAGTTATATGACAGAATATGGTTTCTGTAAGAGAGAGTTTCTGGCTCACAATATCATATACACTGGATAAAATATTTATTATTATTTCCCCGTGGTAAGCTTCAGAACTTATTCTTTTGGATTTTTCTCCTGGAATACTCTAGAGCTGATTCCAAACTGAGATATGAATTTGTAGAAACAGACAGCACCAAGGCATCTAAATGACAATCTCTCCTGAATATTATTTGTGGAACTGCTGTTCTGAACAGTCATTGGACAGCAATAAGGAACAGGAACCCTGTTCATTCATTTCTTTTTCTTGCAAACTTATAATGCTACCTCTTCTGAGATTTGTGACTCAGCCTAAAAAAAATACATAGTTTGGTTTCACCTAAAGTATTATTTACATCAGCTTATACATGACATTTTCATATTACAGTATTGAACTTGATCTATAATAGTACTAGTAGTGGTATAGGAAAAACATGGAAAAGAAAGCATTCTGCAATGAGCTGTAATGTAAAGTGTGTTCACACTGTAATAATATAATTACTTCACGTGGATTAGAGAGTCATTTTAAAATGATAGGCCAATATTTGCAAATTGATTGAAATGAGGTTCTTGGTGATAATGAGGCAGTAATCCAGTTTAGGTACTTTGCAAATCAAATTTTGAAAATATAATTACCAAATGGCACAGTAATAGATGATGTGATTCAAAGGCAAATTTGTTCAAATGGTGATATAATGCCCTTTTTAAGGTGTGGTCCCTGAAGCTATAACGGGCTGAGATAAGATGGATAAGGAAAACTTCTTCCTGTTAGCTGATGAAGGAGAGGGAAACAGAGATTTAAGATTTTAGGCAAGTGATGCCTTGGGAATATGAAGAATTGTTTTATGCAGTGAATGGCAATGACTGTCCATGAGGTTAGTGAAACAGGAAATAATCAATGGTTTCAAGAGGAAAATGGATAGCACTAACAGTAAATAAACCTTTAGGCCCATGGGTATAGAGTAGAGGAATGGGACTGTCTGGATTGGTTCATGATGAGCCAGAATGAATCCAATGGACTAAACAGTCTCACTCAGTGTCATAAGTAGCTCTGACACAAAATACATAATACAATTAGTTCAAATTCCTCTGTCTCTTTCTGAAAGTTTAGCAGACACATTAACCCATTTATTTAAGGCTGATTAATGCCTCTGGTTAAACTGCAGTTTGGAAATTTAGGCAATGTGTTGTGATGTAATTTGGTCTTCAGTAGTATTCTATAACTATGTTGAAAGTAACTAATAAAACTACATTATTTCTAATCTAATGAAGATGAGAAATAAATGTCAAAATTTTGCTATAGAAGGGAGATCAATTCCACTTGGTTAAACCTTTACAATAACATAAAGGGAAACTTTTGTTCCAGTAAAATGGGTGAGGGTGTTATTTTATTATGAAGTGACATGGTTACAGCCACAAATACAGGTTTCTTTTATGTTTTCAGAAATGCATTGTGCTCTAAGGTTACCCACCTAAAATGGGCCTTGATACTGAGCAGTTTCTGACCCACGTATATACAGATATGTGCATCAAGAGCAGACTAGACCATTTGGAACTTTCAGTCTGATCCACTATTTGATAACATCTTGGTTGTTTTGAACAAGGCTTCAATACCACTTTCCTCTCCTTTGACTCTCTTGTCAATCAAAAATCTAAAACTCAGCCTTAAAAATATTCAATGACTCTGAGCCCGGTGCTACCTTGGGAAGAGAATTCCCCAAACCAACAACCTCCTAAGAGAAAAAAAAAATTGTCCTTATCTCTGCGTAAGAAGAAATGTATTTATTTTTTAAACTGTGTTCCCTAGTTCTAGTTTCTCCTTCAAGGGGAAGCATTTGTCAAGAAGTGAGCATTTTCAGGAAGTCTTGTTTTTGAGAGAAAATGTTGAAGTTTAGATTCATGTTAAGTGATTTGCTTTATCCAAATTTTGACTGGTACAATTTTGGTTGTAACTGACACCAATCCCCTGATGTTTTCATTCCAGTCAGGCTATGGACTGTTCACCACTATCATTGAGCTATATTCATGATCTTACAATACAGGTCTTATATTTGTACAACACAAAGCTGTCTCTTTATAATAAACACATATACATATTTTATCAATCATGTGGTCCTTTCCCATTGACAACTAAATAGTTCTACTTTGCCCTCCTTTTACTAAGTCACCTCCTGTTCTCCTGACCCCTGTTTCTATCATGAATAATGTTCCAAGAATCCCATCTATTGCATCATGTCCATAATGCAAAATGCCTAAGGGTCCACTGAGCATCTTCCTCAATGCGTACCCAAGACTAAATCCATCATGGCTTTTGTCTGTTCAATACTAAGCATGTTTCACTGCAGTCAGTGCTAATCTCCACCATGGCCTCATTCTCTTTTCATAACATATTTCCCACTAACCTTTCTTTTAGAATTGAATCTCACTAACTCACACCCTTTACTCTACAAAAGTGTGATAAGGCCGGCAGATAGATATTGTGAAAATCGTGATTTTTTTTAATACATGCTGCACTTCACTCTTTTTTCAATGGGAAGATGGATGATTCAAGCAATGCAACCTTGCAACTAATTGACATTGACACATATGGCCATGACCATTTGGAATTGTGTTGCAATGCTATAGATATGCTGTCAGAGAGAGTACATGTCAAAAAGTACTGCACAGAGTGCATGCCAGAAAACCAAGTGAGTCAGTTGAACCTGTATCAGTTATTCAATTAGTCCCAGTCCCCTGCTTTTACACATTTTGTTCCTTTCAAATATTTATCCCAATTATCTTTTAAAGATTGAAAATATTTCCAACACCCTTTCAGATAGTGCCCTTCACAGTATGTAGCATAAACATTACTTTCTTCAAGTTGCCTCAGGTTCTTTTTGCCAAATCTTAGTCTGACTAACCCTTCCACCACTAGAATGTTTCTACTTAGGTACTTAATCAAAACCTTTAAATATTTCAGACACCCCTATTAAAAATTTAACTTTATCTGCTCTAATGAGGACAACATAAGTTTGTCTAATTATTTTTCATGTAACTGAAGCCCCACATGCCAGCAATCTCAAGACTGTGACAGCTTTTCTAAAGTATGTAGTATTCAGAAATAACAACAATTCTCCCCCTGAGCCGTACTGAATGTTTTGCAAGTGTTTAGCAGAACTTTTTTACTCTATGCCTCTGTTTATAAAGCCAAGGATGCTATATGATTCAAATACTTATACAAGACTTGTGACTCTCAGGTTCCTCTCTTCTGCAATCACTTCAAAGTTGCAGCATTGACACTGTCTCACCTTACTCCATATTTCTCTGCATTAAATATGATCTGTCATGAATCTTATTCAATTCACCCACCTGTATATTTGCTTCTGAAATCTGTTACCATTTTCCTGACCGTTTGGTACATTTCCAAGTTTTGTGTCAACTGGAAACTGATACAATTCAATGTATTCTGAAATCAAAGTCATGGATATAGGTCAAAAGTTACAGTGATTCCAACAGTGACCTCTGGGGAACACAACTGCACACATCCCTCAATCTGAAAAATAAGAAGGTCTGCTTTCTGTCCCTTAGACAATTTTCTACCTGCATGGCTACTGTCCTTCAATCTCATGGACTCAATTTTACGAACAAATCTGTTGTGTGATACAATATCAATGTTTTTGAAAGTCTATAAATGCAACATCAATCTCAATCCTTACCAACATGCTCCATATTTTATCAAGTATCTCAAACAAGCTCGTCAAACATAATGTGCCTTAACACAACCCTGGTGCCTTTCATTTATTAACTCACATTTTTGCAAGTGAAAATTAATTTTGCAGTGGATTAGGTGTCACCCCGGCACAGAAATTTCATTGACTGAATCCTCTTGTTCTTGAGTTTATCCATCCTCTTTAAAGAAGGGTGTAATGTTTGTGCTCCTCCAGTCATCTCGTACTATTATCCAAGGAGGATTGGATGATTGTAGCCAGTATGCATTTTCAACCTTTATTTTGCTCAGCGACCTTGGGCACATTTCATTCAAACTACATGAAATTTCTACATCAACGTTTCATCCTAATCATGTTCTCTACTTCCTATTCCATTACTGTGCCATTGGCAGCATCCTGACCTTTAATGAAGACATGAGATACTGATGTAATATCTCAAGGGTGGCCTTTGCATCCATGAAACGTTTCTTTTTAGTACCTAAACAGCCCCAGTCTCTTCATATTTTGCCGTCAAGGAAGACACTGTATGAATGTAAGTTCATTATTTTATCACTCCAGGGTGTGTTCTGAGGAAGGATCACTGGACCCAAAATGTTAACTCTGTTTTTTCATTCACAGATGCTGCCAGACCTGCTGAGCTTTTCCAGCAACTTTGTTTTTGTTCCTGATTTACAGCATCCGCAGTTCTTTCGGTTTTTATATTGACAAGTGTACCGCACATTAAGATTCTTCTCCTTTAACTCATACTAACTGATATCTTCATGAAAACCTAATTCTCTTGTGAAAACCAGCAAGACACTTTTCAAATGGTCTCCTGTTCTGTGATGCTATAACCCTACAAAACCCCATCAATGGAATCAATGAATGGTAACAGAGCAGCAAGAGGTCTTTCAACCCATCATATCTATGCCAGCTCTCAGCAAGAACAACTCAGCCTAATCCCACTTTCTTGCCTCTAAGCCCTGCAATTTTTTTTTTCTCGATGGCTTATCCAGTTCCTTTTTAAAAGGCCATAATTGAATCTACCCTGTTACATTCTAAGGCGAGGCATACCAGATCCTAACTATTCACCGAATTAAAAATGTTGCCCTTCATGTCATTTGTTGGTTATTTTGTCAATCAACTTAAATCTGTTTCCATTGGTTCTTGACCCTTCCACCAAGGGAAATAATTTCTTTCCACCTGTTCTGTATAGATTCCCCTATGGTTTTTGAATACTTCTATTCAATCTCCTCTTAACCTTATATGAGCAAAGACATTCCCAACTTTTCCAATCTATCCATGCAAATTTATTTGTTCGTCCTTGGAAGCATTCTCAGAAATCTTTCTAGTATTCCACATAAAGCTAATCAAGGTCCTAAGTGGCTTTTCCCTTATTTTAAAATTGTGGCCCCGTTTCTAGACTCCCTAACTAGAGGAAACCTCTCCTGTCTCTATCCCTTTAATCATTTGAAGATTTCAATGAGATCATTTTTCAAGCTTCAAAATTCTAGAGAATACAGGCCCAGTTTCCACATTCTTTCTTCCTAGGACAGTCCTGCTATTGTAGGAACAAAACTGACAAACCTTTGTTACACTTCCTCAATGACAATGTTGATCCTTTCTAACATAAGGAAACCAAAACGACAAACAGTACTTCAAGTGCAGTCTAACCAATGTTCCAGACAACTGAAGAAAGACCTGACTATTCCTGTACTCAAACCCTCTTGCAATAAAGGCTAACAGGCCATTAGCTTTCCTAATAACCTGCTGTACCTGCATGTTAGCCTCCAGTGACCTACTGACAAGGACACCCATGTCCTTTGGATATCTGCACTTTACAACTTCTTGCCATTTAAGAGATATTCTGTCCATCTGTTCTTCCTACGAAAGTGGATAACTTCACCTTTATCTACTAACCAAGTCTGTCCAATCCCCTTTGAAGTGGCTTTGCATCTTCCTGACAGCGTACATTATCACATAGCTTTGTACCATTTGCGAACTTGGCAATATTACATTTGGTCCCCATATCCATATTTTGTGTAACAGCAGGGACCGCAGTACTGATTCTTATGGGATCTCTCTATTCACAGCCTGTCAGAAAATAATCTACTTATTCCTTTTCTCTGTTTTCTGTATATTAAACGCTCAAAAATCCACCTAGTACAGTACCTCCCAACCCAAGTGCTTTCCTTTTTTCAAGGTAACATCCTTTGGTAAGGGTAGTAAGAACTGCCGATTCTGGAGTCAGAGGTAACACAGTGTGGAGCTGCAGGAACACAGCAGGTCAGGCAGCATCAGAGGAACAGGAAAGCTCTGAAATTTCTGAAGAAGGGTCCCAACCCGAAACGTCAGCTTTCCTGCTCCTCTGATGCTGCCTGGCCTTGCTGTGTTCCTCCAGCTCCACACTGTATTATCTCTTTCTTTGGTAGGGTTAGGGTTAGGGGGTTAGCCTTCTGAAAATTAGAATATACGATGTTCACCAACCCCTGTTTATCAATTCTGTTAGTAACCTTCTCAAAAAACTCCCAACTGGTTCCTCAAACATTATTTGTCCATTCACAAATCCACATTGATTATAGTCAATGAGATCAGTATTATCTAATGGTCCATTTATCACATTCTTTATAATAAATTCTAGCCATTTCCTACAACTGATATAAGGCTAACAGGTCTGTGGTTCCCTAATTTATTCCTATATCCTTTTTCAAACAGTAGGGTTACATTTGCTCCTTCCCAATCCACTGGAACCATTCCAGACTGTGTCAAATTTTGGAAGAGGATCACTGA